TTCGCAATTAGCTTGTTCTAGACGCATCTGTCACCAACAGATGACGTAAATAAAATACAATCTAGATTTCCAGGTCGGATGTTGAACCACAATAAAAAAATATATATAAACCTAGCTGTTATAACATTTATTTCGTGAAATACTCAATAAAAACATATTTTAGAAGAACAATGTTTTCCTGAGTTTTGGTATTAAAAAAAACCTGAAATAGGAAAGTACTTGACGGTTCACTGTTGAGATATAGAATGTGTGACATGATTTGATCACTGTTACCAGAATAATTCAACCGATACTTTTCATAATGACAAAGTGTTTGGGTACTGAGACATGTTCTGGAAACAAACCCGAGATGAATGAATGAACAGAGCCCATCTCAGAATCCCTCATCTAAGCCTTGTTAGGCTTGGGATAGAAATAAAAAATTTAATTGTCTTAATACCAACATTTGAAGGAAAAGAATAAATTTGACAGGTACACACAGTATTTGTAAAACTTACTCAAACAACAGGGGATTTCAAAATAATAAAATACATAATCAGTATATAAGTTGATAGCAATTATTTAAACAATTTCTTTTTTAATAAACTTGTTTTGTTTGGGTTTTTTTTGTGGTGGAATGGTCTGTTAGATAATATTCATTTAAACAATGGATCAAGCTTATTTAATTTAAAAAAACTTATTCGATCTCTTGCTTCTAAGAATGGGGTGGAATGAACAAGAACATTTGTAAAACTGTATACTTTAACTCAAAGAACTGAGGTTTATAAAATAGAATACATGGTCAGTAAAACACTAGATATTAATTATCTAAACAATAAACAGAGTTTTTCTTTTAATAACCATTTGTTCCCTTAATTTCCTTATTGACTATATATATGTATATTACTGGCATAAACAGGTAGATTAAAAATCATGGCTCTAATTTCAGTTACATTTGTCAGTCTTGATAAAACTAAAATCTTATCAAAAGACTATAGTATGAAACCTTTTTAAAAAAAGAGGATTTATTGACAATGTACTTAAAAGGTTTCACAGCAGATGAATAAAATCACCGATAAGATAAGGTTAATGATATCTTTTTTTTGATATCGGTATACTTGGGTTTCAGAACAGACGAATCAAAATCAACTTTAAGATAAAGGTAATGATATCATTTGGTGCAAATATAAATTATATTCATATGGTTGTGTTACAGGAAATGGAATGTTTACATGTCTCTTATTGACAACATAGAAGATCATTTAAAGAAAAATTTATTGAAACAGCAACAGATCAACTGTTTCAGATACTCGAAGGATTAGAATATCAATATTAACATAGGCTAATAAAATGCAGTTACTGACTATAAGTAAAAGGGAACAGCTGGAGAAGTTACATGTGAGTAAATTAGATTCACATTCAAAGAATTAATAGGTTTTATGTGTACAAGACAAGAAGAGATACTGGAAAGTGCTGAAACGTTTTCCCTGTACAAGATTGCTAGATACAGGACAAAGGGCGTTGAGCCAGAAAGGTACTAATAAAACAGTGAAATTACTAAATGTTTTTAATCTTGTCATACTACTAATATGATGAACTATAACTCGAGGTTCAAATTACGATGCACTCCAGTACAGCTTTAGGTATATTTTAAACACAGGTTTATTTTCTGAACCTCGAGTTAGTGGTATATTGACAACATTCGCAAGATGTAGAAGTAATTACAGTTTAACAGAGGAGTATCGATATAAAATGTCTATGGCTGTATACCAAGCTAAGTTTATGGTACACAAGACACTGTTAAATATTTAATTAATCCTGTCTAAACCAAGATTGATAATGTTATAAACATTTTTAGACTAGTATGAGACCTCCAGTCAAATGACTTGTTGTTCCTGATAAATTTATGAATAAATAATATGAAGTCCAAGATTAGAGAGTTCCAACAATACCCATGGCAGTCAAACCTCGACGATCAAAGCCAAAACAAAAGATGTGTAGTAAAGATGTCCCACATTCCAACGTCGGATGTGGTAAGCTTTAGGAGGTTTTGCTTTCAAAATCCAACCGACAGTAGAGCTACAAGTGTCAGAGATCCAGTCGAATGACTAATTAGTATTTGACCAGTTGCTTAATTTGACCAAAACTGTATCCTCAACTGGAATCATTACAGGATTCAAGTCTACTCATTGTTTTAATGGATTTTAGGAAAAAAATCTTTCTGACCTCTGCTCTAGTTTTGAAAACTGAATCTGCTCACATTGTACAAATAAATTTCAATTCATATTTAAATGATATGATTTGTTTTGTTATAAACAAATGTTTAATCTAAACATATATATTTTAAAACTGAACTGAATCAAGAATATAAGAATTCAATTTCTGATGAAATTAAAACTATTATTATTTATATAATTGGGGGGTAAGATTGGTTTTGCAAAAATGTCAATATCTTTATAAATTCTACACAATTAAATATTAGAAAATGTTTTGATTATCCAAGCAACTTGACCATAAATATTTTGATTATTCAATTAATCTCCTTAAGCTTTTGAAGGTATTTACGACCCATTGGTATTCAAATGAGAAAAGTGAAGGACCATTAGCATAGTTAACCGTTTCTATAACTTTTAATTTAAATGCTTGGTAAGGTGTAGAACTGCCCACATGTTGTATCCTCTCCTGTCGCCTGTTTTTAATCACTCTTCTTAAGATTAAAGAAATATTGGATTGAAGGGGACATTAAACAAAAAACATTCTTTCCTATTACAAAAGGATGCTGAACAGAGGATATTATTTTGACAGATTGTTCAAAATCTTATCAAACTTGGCGCTAATGTCGAGACAATTAATTAATTGTAATAACAGTTATGTTTAAAAATAGTAAATCAAAATACTTTCATTCAAAAATTTAGAGAACACTTTGGCACTAAATTTATTGAGCTTTCAATTGGAGAAAGCAAATTTGGCCTAAAATATCTTGGTTCTGCAGAGTCTGCTTTCCTATTACAAAAGGGTGCTAAACACAGGACATCATTTTACCAAATTGTTCAAATTCTTAACAAGCTTGGTGCTAACGTCGAGAAAATTGATAAATTGTAAATCAAAATACTTAAGTTCAAATATTTAAAGAATACTTTGGCGCTACATTTATCAAACTCTCAATTGGAGAAAACAAACTCGACCTAAAATATCTTGGTTCCGCAGGATCTGTATTCAATTAATTTTATGAACATATTTACCCCAAATAGGTATTCAAATGAGAAAAGTTAAGGATCCGTAACTAAGAATTTTTTAAAAACCCTTTCATTTAGAATCTAGGCACTCTTCTATGACAAAAGAATGTAGAACAGAGGAAATCAAAATGTCCTCAAACAACTAAAATTACTGATTTCGGTAGGAGCTGATGTTAACGAATTAAAGTAAATGATTTAACATTGTAAAATTGTAAATCAATATACTTCATTAAAAAAATTTAAGAGAAACTTTTCCAGCTAAAACTAGCAATCTTTCAATTTAATGAGGTGTATTCAAATGAGAAAAGTCAAGGATCCGTAGCTAAGATTTTTTTTATAACCCTTTAATTTAGAATCTAGGCACTTTTCTATGACAAAATAATGTTGAACAGAGGAAATCAAAATTTCATCAAAAAACTAAATTTACTGATATCGGTAGGAGCTGATGTTAACGAATTAAAGTAAATGATTTAACATTATAAAATTGTAAATCAACATACTTTACTTAAAAAAACATTTAAGAGGAACTTTTCTAGCTAAAACTAGCAATCTTTCAATTTCTACACTATGAAAGCAAACCTAGTCTTATGTACACCAATCACATGAGAAATGGGAAGATAAACTATGATATGCAGCTATTTGTCATACATCGAAAAAACAAAATTCCTTGCATATTTGAACATAGTTCATATTAGGAATCCCTGACATAAATTAACCAATCACATATTAGTTTTTTGCTATATGGATAGCTGTTGTAAACTGTGCATTTATAATGCATTCTGCTTTATAAAAGAAGATGGTTTTCCTGAGTTTTTCATCATAGTGAGTGATATTGATGCCATACTAAAGCGTGTGGTAAAGTCCATTTTAAGTCAATATTAAACACAATGTGAAGTCAAGGATTAGCTGCTGTAACACATTAGTGTGTTTACACCTTTGTTTTGATCCTGTGCCTCAGGATATGGATAAGTACACATTTTGCAGAGTTGAAACATTACATACTTAAACCAATATATATTCATAAACAGTATTTTTTTTTTATACATGTGTGTACCATACTTTTTTTTTAAAACATAAGATACTTAAACCAATATATTCATGAACAGTACCTTTTTAACCTTAAACCATATGTGTGTGTGCGTGTACCATACTTTTTTTTAAAATCATAACATACTTAAACCAATATATATTCATTAACAGTACCTTTTCATACTTAAACCATATGTGTGTGTACAGTACATAACAGACTTAAAAAATAATATTGGTTCATAAATAATATTGGTTCATAAATAATATACTTAAACCAATATATATTCATTAACAGTACCTTTTTATACTTAAACCATATGTGTGTGTACAGTACATAACCTACTTAAAAAATAATATTGGTTCATAAATAATATATGTTTGTGTACAATACCTTTTTTTTATATTTAACACAATATATTTGTGTAATGCATTTTTAGGAAAAAGAGAATTAAAGACAGTAAAAAAAATAAGAAAGTTTTATTAGATATCATTATGCTTTCTTCCTGTGAATAAGCTAAATGCCCATTCACAAATTCAAAAAGATCTGAAGATTATACAACTGTGCTAACAATATTTCGTAACAAAGCTGATTAACTGGAAATTTATCTAAAAAAATTTTTCATTAATATAAATTTCAGTTAATAATTGCACTTTATAAAGTTTTAACAAAATTTCATAACAAAGGCGTATAACTGATGTAATAGTTACACTTTAAGAACAGCTCCAACTTTAGTATAATCTTCTGATGGTGAGCTGTTAAAGTTGTGCTTGTTTACCTTCTCTCTTCCAGATAATCACCATACCTTGTTCATCACACGAAGCTAATAAACTTTCATCACAGTTAAAACAAACATCTAATACTGGTGCTGAATGACCTAACAGTTTATTAACACAAGTTTTACTGTCTTTAGTCACATCAAAAAAATAAACACACATATCTTCACTTCCAGAAACTTAAAAAAAAATTTTTTAACAGTTTAATAATTCCATGACATTACAAAAAGATAAACAATGTAAGATCCAAACTAGTAGAGAGAGAGAGAGAAAAAAAAGAAAACATGACAGGAAGATATTTTCTTCAATTTATCTCCAAAAAGAGAGGAAAAGAGAAATGGGTACAACATACATTTGATACAGCTACCTCATTTCAGTTACGATCTATCTTTTTGACACCCAAACCACTCACTCACCTCCAATAAAATTAAGTGAAACTTACTATATCTTAGTCAAAATATGACCCAACTGATACTGATATCCAGTAAAATTTTACGCCTCGATGGCAACCATCAATACTATCATCAATAAATTTGCTTGTTACTGAAACTCGTGAGAGCAAATTCTGTAAAAGTTTTGCAATGTTTCCAGACTGATCACCCACTTATAGATCCAAAGAAAGGTTTCTACTTACTGACACAAGCTCCCATTCTAAAAGACATCAACGGACAGAAACAACTTTTAATATATGATGATCTTTGTTTAATAGGAAAAGTTTTCTTCAACTGTAGAGCTCCATCATCAGATACAATCCTACAATAATTAACAAATCTAAAAAATTGATCACAATTAGCTTCATATAAAGTTTTAATGAATATGGAATTTATTAATTTCTGTGGTGCCAGTGGTTTTACAAGATAGATAACTTATTACATTAGTTTAAAACATGAATATTATACAAGCAAGAAATGCATGTGTTAATTGAGTCCTTCTGCAAAGAAGTGAAATTAAATGGGGTTTCTGCACCAAATGGGCCAATGAAGACAACCATACACCACAGATTGTGTTACTGGGAAATTTTGTTCAGTTTGCCTACTTTTCATCAAATTTCAACTGTTATAGTTTCTTTTATGTGAACACCAATGAGTACATTGGTGGATCTTGGGTTTTTAGACCTATCTGCTTTTTCTTTGAAAATGTGTAGTAATGTTAACCTCTTGAAATTTTGGTAAAAAATAAAATTGTTGAACTCAACGGATTTTACGTGTTCAATACTTTATTTATCTTTTTCTGGTAACTGGTCACTTTTATTTCCTGCTGCATTATTTTCATGTTTTACAGCATTAGAGAATCAAACCACCCTCATAAACTAAATCAAAGTAAACTTACTTGAATAAACATAGAGAATTAAGACAACAATTAACGAGTAATGAAGGGTCTCTAGCCTCTCTACTTAACCAAGCTCGGGCACTAATACTTGTTATAGCTTGACCATCACATACTGTAATCCTATAAAATATCATACATTTTATCATTAGGCCAAAAAAACAAACAAAAATCTGTTTCTGGTAACCCTAGCGTCCCATCTCAAAGCCTGCTGAGAAATAAAAAAACTTTTCTTTACCGACTTACCATTCAAATAATCTGAGCCAACCGGATTTGTGACAATGTCTATATTTTTTGCTGTTATAAATGAATATAAAGGTCATCTTTGAGTCTGCGTTTACTAATCGGTACAGCAAACAATAAATCCTCATACCGTTGACGCGAGATTGCTAACTAAAGTGAAAATTGAGAGTGCAGGTTTCGTATACATTTACCAATGCACATTAAGAAAGACAAACTCGACAATAATTGATCTATGGTTCACCAACAGCCATTTTGACATTCCCATCGAGTTGTATTCAAAATCTGTTACAATTTTGGCCTCCGAAAATTTGTGACTGTTAAAGATAGAGAGAGAGAAATGGGGTTTAACGTCCACTCGACACAAAGTAGGTCATTTCGCGACTAACATATAGTTTAAATTTATTTTGATAATTTGCTTGCGCGTAGGTGTCTTTAGCAGTGGGAGGAAACCAGAGGACCCGGAGAAAACCCACGAGGTTGGACAGGCGACCCTACTCCTTGTCACGTACAACCGGGGAATCGAAACCCCACCAGTTGACTCAATGACAGACTTTATGATACAGCACGCACATGCTAACCATTCAGCCATCCAACCCCCCCTTTTTTGCTAGAGGCTCTATATTTGGAGTAATAATTTTAGTAACAAGTATACACTAAAGCTATTAATAATAACTTGTCAAAAACATACAGCTCTATGAAGTTCATTAAACAGATTTTCTACAGATTTATAAAGCTATAACAGTAAATCTCTTTATCTTTGGGGTATATTCTATCCCTGGAATAACTTGTGGCCTGAAAGTCAGGAGCGGCTTTGGATCTTTACAGGGGAATTTGGGGTTATTCTTCTGAAAGTTTTTCTTCCAGGGTAGGGTTTTTTTTCCATAAGAAAACATTATATAAGGTTTTTCTTACGGGAATACTGGGATATTCTCATTTTTCGTACATGTAAATATAGACAGTTTATAAGCAAGATAAAGTCGTCGACTTCGGTTATGCTGGGGAAGAAAAATTTCACAAAAAAACCCTTGACAGAAAAACCTTGGCCAACCGGTCTCGGTTTTTCTTTTTCTCAAGGTTATTTTTATTCAGTCTTTCTTTCCCCAGAATAACCTCAGTTTCTGCTTTATCCTACATGTAAGCAACAATAAAAGTGTAATAAGTACCTGCGAGCTTTAGCTAGTTTGCCAGTAGCAACATCAACTGTGAAAGAAAATATGGAGCCTTTGTCATCCCCAGCCCATAACAATTTACCACTGGAGTCAAATGCCATAGACTGTACTTGTCCAGTTATCTTTGAACTTCCACCCTGTAATAACGACAAAAAGATAGGTTGCATTTCACTGAATGTCAGGCCCATGAAACATGGGAATTTTGGAAACAAGGCATGCATCATCTAAATAGGGTAATATATTATGATCAATCACCACAGCTGAAGCCCTTGATTACACCACATTTTCGGGACTGGTAGATTGTGACTTGACTTAATTCTGTGCTACTTGATTTCCATTCTGTACATAACAACTTAACACCCCTTGTATCATCCATAACAAATTACATCCATACTTCAGAATTTGAAGAGAGACCGTTCTTAGACAAGAATCAGTGTTATCTCTAAACTACCCTTTGTATTTATAATGATTCTAATCTTTTGCATGTTAATGTCTCTGGTCAGCGGTTGTGATTGCCTCTCAATCATACATTTGGTTTCCAAAGAATACATAGGAGTACAAGTTAGATTTAATTTCTGAAAAAAATTAATGTTTTACTAACCTTATAACCTTTACCAGTGGACATGTTCATTACTTGTACCATACATCTATTATTACCTATCTGTTATATACGTCAGGAAATTAAATATCAGTTCATTAGGTCATACATAAGAATAATGTAATTATTTAGCTATTTGGAGGGAGAATGAAACTGAAACTTAATCACAAACAAGGAAACTTAGAAATCAATTAATCCTGCACACTTGTTTATCATAAAGAAGTCCAATTTGTTTCCATGGAAACAAAATAGATCAGAGACATTTTCAATTGACAAAAGGCACTACTACGTATACTATAATAGGTTGAAGTATGAATGAAGTTTAAGATTTGGGACAGAAGGATTGACCAAGCATTTCCAAATCCTTCCTTTATCATTATGCCATATGGGTAAATAAAAAATGACTGAAATGACTTGCATATATTTTAAGACCTCAACATGAGATCTATGATTTTTGTCGAGAGAAAGGATACAACAAACATGTTGTTATTTAATGGTTGAAATAAACAACAATTAACTTCTCCACCACTACCATCGTGTATAACTCTCATACACGTACCGGCTGCTACATCCCATAATCTAGCTGTACTATCTTTACTAGCAGATAATATAACATCATTAGATAGTGACCACACAAAATCTGAAATAATAGGTATGATATCATAACTACATTATCATTGTTTATTAAAAGGCAAAGTAAGGACGTTATGTTTGAGAAGTCTGGGAAGATTTTGTTAAATCACGATATTTGGAAAGTATGCTATTATTAATTGTTTAAGCTGCATTTAGTAACTGACTCAGCATAACACAATATGGAATACAAGTTCCTTAGATGTTTTTTTCTGGCAACATCTAAGTAACTTGTATTCCATATATTTGTATCATGTGTTACAATGTTATGACCCAAATAAAATTAAAATTTATATTTAGATACAAAGGAACTGGAGGACATTATAAGTATCTGATAAATTATCAAGCATTCCATCTGGGAACAAATTTTTACTGTCATATCAGAATAATAAGCATACTGTGTGTCACATTTGTTTTCAAATTTTATTATAATTTTCATAGGCTGTGATGTTGTACGAATAGATTCATATATACATGTGTGATTGCCCTGTTCAACAAGAAATGAAATGTGGTTTAACATACTCGTTCCTCGGCAGGCCCTCCCATCCTGCACCATCCTGACATGAGAAAACCATGCTGGAAAATCTTGGAATCTCTTGGTTAGTGAGCCAGTGCCTTACTCACCTGTTAAACAGGTATTGGTCTCTAAGTTTTGGAAACAAGATCAGGATATGTTTTCTACCAATTAAGTGGGGTTGGGTGGCCGAATGGTCTATGGTATGTCATTGAGTCAATTGGAATGGTTGCAAGCTCACACTTGTACATGAAAAGGAGTAGGGTCATCGTCCAACCTCGTGGATTTTCTCTGGATCCTTCAGGTTCCTCCCACAGCTAAAGATCCCTACGAGCAAGCTTATTCTTTAAATAAAATTTAATGTGCTAGTACCAAAATGACCTAGTTTGTGTCAAATAGATGTTAACCTTTTCTCTGTGTACCAATAAAATGTATAAGTACCTGTGACTCCACCTTTGTGTCCCTTTAACATACATATAACAGTAGCTGGTGGAGGTATAACTTGACAGATTGATAAACTACCATCTAAAGATGAACAGGCTACTCGTGTTTTATCATCATGAGCAAACTTTACACTTGTAACTGAAATATACACATTTTATAAAACATTAGCACCTATATACAGGGGATCAGAATGCTCGTGTTTCAAATAGAACAACTATGCACACTGGCTTTCATGTAATGGCCGGGCTTGAAAAATCCCTATGGTTCTTCTTGGCCACTAACAGAATTTGAACCCGGGGCATTAGAGTAAACAGTCTAGAGTCCTGACCCTTTGATTACCATGGCTCCTGTCTGAATAGAATAGCTCTTACCTGCAGCAGAATGCTGGTCAAATATATGATGCATTCCAGCAAAAGCATAATTTTCTGATACTGTCTTTCCACCAACCATTGCCCTAAAAATAAAAATTAAATACAAACTGTTTAACAAACTTTACTTAAACTGACTGTGAAACTAAGGTAAAAATTCCAGGTTGATATTCTATATTACATTTTCTGAGGAGGAAGGCATGATCAGAGACAAAGAATACCTATGATTGGATTTTTACTAATGAGAGAGAGAGAGAGAGAGAGAGAGAGAGAGAGAATTAACATCCACTTAACACAAATTGGGTCGTTTCAGGACTAACGTATGGTTAAATTTCAATAATGAAGTACTGACAATCAATTACATAAATGTACACAAGGGGAGATAACTATATTTTAATTCTGGGTGCTTTTATAACCTCCCTTTGATATATCAGGGCACTAACCTGCTTGCTTCAGCAGCACTTGTTGGAACAACTTCAATACTATCATATACACGTTTCATTGGACCCTCATAAAGATGTTTTAACGACCCACTACTGGTATTACGTCTGTGGCGTTTTCGTCCATCACTCGGACCAAGTGCGGCAAGCGAGTCATAGCTCTGTAACAATAAAAAAACACAAATATCATGTGATACATAACAAATAGTATAAAGAGATGAGTTTCATCAAAACAATGACCTATGACGAGATATTTAGTAGTTATGAATTCTATGTTTTTACACTACACAAATTAGAATTTTTCGGTTTTTTGCTTAATATTTTTTGAAAGAAAACAGTTTTTCTTTTTAAAGAAAGCATATGGTTGCTATTCGAAAAGCGCATACTTCCAAGTTTTTTTATTTTAAAAATTTGAAACAAAAAAGCCCTCATAAGCCACAATGAAAAATATTAGACCAATATACGTCAGTTTGTTTAAACATGCATTATGCAAGAGCAAAATCTGCTTATTACAAGTCTTTCTTTAGGCCTGAAATGTTATCTAAATAATCAATTAGACATTAATTAACTTATCCAGACCATAATAAACTCTCGATGTCAAGGCTAGCCTTCAATGTTGGCTGGATTAGATTCCTATATGCCGCTAACGGCCAGTGATAATTAAATCCAAAAAAGTGGACAATCGAGACTATGCTGTTTATATTAATGATTTTAGTAATGATGACCAAGACTATGCAAAAATTTCACCCGCTTCTTTCTCGGCTCATAGTGGATCAATTTGACTGAGATTTTCAGCAAATTACTTTTACACTATCTAGTTTTTAACTATTATAGCGAGACCTGCCATCTCTTTATCTTATCTCCCATAATGTATCTTTAAGTAAACAAAATCAAATTAAAATAGGTAAGGGAGTTTTTTCATTATTTTTAACTATAAATGTGTTTACCTCTGCTGTATTTCTGCTAATACTTCGCAAACTGAAAGATCGACTTTTGATACTCCTGAAAAAGGAAACAAAATATTAAAATAGACACTTATCAAAGGAACCAGGAAAAAGAGAAAATATCTACCAAGTCCAAAATATCTAAAATCATGAATAACAGCATTTAATGCATTTTTGTAGATCTTGCTTGATTATAACACAAAACTGGCTAAAATGACAATAAATATGAAGTATTTATCACGTTATCAAAATGGATTAAGAACCCTGCGCCCACCCCAACACAAAAAAAAAAAAAAAAAAAATTATTCAAAAGTTCAGAAATGCATCAGAACCCTTGTCTCTGCTCTTCAATAAAAAGGGAACTCTCATATAACAATCAGTCTGAACCATGACCTTGTGTAGCCTCTACATATTCAAAATTGGCTATATATACACAAACTCATGCACAGACATGTATTAAGCAATAGCCCACTTTTCAACTTCTTAAACAAGTACAGAGATTATTTTTGCTCTACTATTAAATGCAGTAGAATCTGTACCAGCAGCCACTCCTATTCATCTCTTTAATCAACAGCCACTCCTCTAACGCGGCCAGCGGTCACTATTTTACTAATAAATTGAGCAAAATAGCACTTTTTCAACAGCCATTGTGGAATGATACAATCTTGTCGTACTTCGACGTAGCACCTTCGCTAATCCTGTGATTATTAGTTAATTATCTATTCCCCCACCGATCAGGTAAAACGGACAGTTAAAATAACAATTAACCCGGGATTACCTGTTAATTAATCTTTTGTTTTATTACATGACAAACCCTGATCATTGTTTCCACACGTATTGAAACATTATTAGATAGATACCGGTACTGTTTCAATAAACTAAAAGTACCGTCAAAGCCGAGTTTTGACGCGATCATTTAGTATCTGTTTACCATTGCCACTTTGTTGCTAAACAGAAGTTTTAGTGCCTCCTATATTACATACAGAGTTAAACCCCCTAAAAATCGTGATATGTGCTTTTTGATAAAATAAAATTAATTCATGGATTTTCTTCACAAAAATGGATAAATAATATCGAATACATCACAGTGGTAGACAGTAGTATCAATGTTGGTACAAAATGACACGTCTACTGAAGATATATCAGAGATTTGTGTCAAATAATTTTTGTCCCAAACAAGTTTCTGCGACGGCCAAATTTACTGATCAAGTATTGATGTTTGCTCCCAATGCATCCAAGCGTAAAATTTACTTGATGTCAGCACTAACAAACACTCAGATTTTATTAAGCGGTCACTCCCGCTAGGCAGCCAGTCATGAAAATTCCCTTGAGTGGCTGCTTAATACAGATTTTACTGTATGATTTGCAATATTACCCCTGGTCAGAAAAAGCTGGGCTGCCATATCTTGAATTTAATAACTGCGCTCTAAGTCTTAAATAATCTTTTCTAGTTGCAACATCTCCCTGATAATAGAAACACAAAATCAATAAATCAATGTGCAAAATATTGTTCAAGTAAGAAAACATAATATATATTTTTAACACACACTGTGAAACAAAAAATTCAAAGGAAATTATAAAACCAATATTCAACAAAATGTTGCATATAATATAAAGATACTTTAATATACATGTGTCCATCATAATTAAATTCACTTAAATATAACTTAATGAAGGATTATTCAATGTGATATTATATTAAAAGTTGTACAAATGTTATTTGATCCATACTTCTTTATTGGCATTTTCTCTCAACAACTGACTTCGTCTTCTTATGTAGAGAGTACCTGTGAACAAAAAAAAGAGTATAATTGAAAATATGCAAATAGGCCTACGAATTAGACAAAATTAAATAAAGATATATATATGTGTGTTGGTAATGTAAACTTATTAAAAATGTCACCACTATTTCACATTTTTTATCCAAAAAAATAAGCAGACTTGGTTCAATCCATCCAAGGTTCAAAGTGTGTCTTAACTAGTAACTATCAACAAGAACTTCTAAATGAATAGTTCCACATGCTATCTTTGCACCACATTCAAACCTGCTTATTCAGAACACTTCTGTTCATACCCAATGGGTTAGGTCTAAATATTAAGGATATCTGCAGATTTCGTCAACAAGGTCATGAGATGTAAGCTAGCCCTAACCCTATACCTAACTTACAATCCTCGGCAACAATCGCGTGCCCTACCCCTATTTAATTTTACATCCCGTGACCTTGAGTAAATCGGCAGGTGGCCTTAATATTTAGACCTGACCTCGATTGCTTACAAGGTGGTGAAAAATTACGGAGTTGTCCCGATTGTCAATAAACAGGAAACAATAACACGCCCATGCGGACATGTTGTATTTATTTAGAATAAAGCACTCAACCATCCTTACAATTCATAAATAAAAATATTTTAAGGTTCATACATTACTCTATAGTTCTCTATGCAATTATATATTACTTACGAAATTGTGGATTATTTGGTGCTCGATATGCATTATATTTTGCATCTAAGGCAAGCACCTGTTGCCATACGCCAGCCATTTTCTACTTTCTTACGTCACACCATCCCTGTCGACCTTGACAAAAATGCCTTTCGAGAAATCAAAAATTCTGTTGACATCCACAATGCCATGTTCAACATTCATAGACCATAGTAGATCTTCTACGACAATGCCGTTATTGCTTCAAAATTTGGCAGCCTAATATTCTTCCTGGTTCCCTTTCTATTTTAGCCCAATAGCTACTTCTTGTTGTGAGGGACATACATTCTATGCTGAAGCGCCACCTCGTAATGTCCTATTTTTAGCAATCTAAATTTAACTTGCTCCGCTTTACATATAAGTTGACGTAGCCATCTTCGAAACGGATCTATGCGAAATCTAATCAGTAAACTGGATTAAGAAAAATTACAATCAAGTAGTGAGACATAGCAGAAACAGAAGATGCAGGCCATTAAATGTGTAGTTGTAGGCGACGGGTGAGTGGTGTATTGAACTTATTACTTGCTGGAAACATGGCAGGCACAATAATCTGACGACCCAGGACTGCCGTGAACAACCCGTGTTGTTTCTATAAGTTTCATGCCTATAACATAACGTTCACTCAGATTAAACCCAACCCATGACTAAGTATTTGGTCAAACTTTCTTCTCGTGTTGAATTTGCTAAGATCTGATTTATTAGACTCGATATATTAATGTGCATGAGTATGAGGCAACTGGCCTACATGTATTGTATGGCTATACGTCCATGGGGCTATGGTACTGGGTAGTAAACTAGTACAAAAAGTGCTTTTTACTTATTGAGAGGCCCTCCTAAAATGAATGTAAAATTGACTTTCACATTTAGGCCAAATGTCCCATTAATGTTATAAGAATATACTTGGGGTTTGTCATAGCCTTAAGTGCACAGAAGAGCAATCATTATCAACAATCCTACATGAATGTACCATGTAGAATCCAGCAGGATTTAAATTTTGTGAAGAATAAAATAACCAGCCTGATCTGATACTTATAAACTTATAACGGTAAATCTCTTTGATCTTTGGGGTATATTCTATGCCCGGAATTACTTGCGGTCTGAATATATAGAGAGGAATTTGGGGTTATTCTTCTGAAAGTTTTTCATTAAACCTGTATCTGGTTATTCTTCCAGGGTAGGTTTTTTTTCTAAAAGAAAACATGATATAAGGTTTTTCTTACTGGAATTCTGGGATATTCTCATTTTACGTACGTAAACATAGACGGTTTATAAGCAAGATAAAGTCTTGACTTCGGATATGTGGGGGAAGAAAGACTTCAGAAAAACCCTCGCTTTTTCTTTTTCTCAGTTTATTTTCTCCAGTCTTTCTTTCCCCAGCATAACTTCAGTCTCGTGCTTTATCCTACACATAGTCAACCCTAATTGGAGAATTGTAACAATCTTGCATTTTACATTAATTGAAAGTAGACCTGTCAAGTCCCACAGAGGGTCTCAAGAAATATGGACTAACCTCCAAGCCCCATTGGACAGATTAGAATTCTCAAGAAATTTATAGAATACCTTCTTAGACTTAATTAATATGAGCTAGAGGTCTAAATGTGCAAATGTTCCTGACAACACCAAACTACATAATCACCGTCCGTCCCAGACAAATCTCTGCAAATAATCTTGGTCAAAGCCTTGTAAGCCCAGTACTGTACAGCATGTTAGTATTTCCATATGCTCCCATGAACCATGTATGACCATTTTCTCATAAAAACTGATAAAAAGGGATCTAATCTCAATATTACTTTTTGACAAATTTTCTGTAATAACTGTTATAATTTCTTACAGAAATTTAGCCATCCCTCACGTGTCCCCTCCCAGGAATTTTCATTGTTCTCTGAACGAAATTCAAGTAATTCTTCACAATGGCTTGGCAGGTCTTGGATTAGGAAAGACATTTTTTTAAACCCCTTTAATTCACAGAACTTTCTCATTCACCAAAATCGTTAATATAATTATCTGTCATTTTTAATTGATTAGGAGTAACATAACATAGCCTGCAGGTATAGTTTAAACACACACTATATAAACACATCACTGTAAAATTTTGCCTAGATATGTTTTATTTTTTTTATGAAGAAAAATGATTCCGAACTTATCTAGAGCCTTGAGTAGTTCTGGTTATGGATATAATGGACAAAAACAGGAACGACTAAAACACATTTGGTCATTACGGCTAAACAAAATTTGTTTATAAATTAAACTTTATATAGCCGTTTTGTATTTAGCTAATACTAGCCATGACCTTACTGATACCTGTTGCAAAGTTATCACCACCATTAATTTTGAATATTAGGCCTGTCTATACAGTGTAATACTGTGGCAATGTACATTTGCTTTTAAAACCAAATTCCCTATGTGCATGTACATGTACCTGTATTCATCAATATGAACATGTAGTGTTTTGTTTGGTAATACAAGTAAAAATCCACAGATACATGTAGTATGAGGGTTGAATTACCTTGATGTATTACATATTTGACATGTCATTGTCAACTAGCTTTTCAGTAATTGGAGTCTAGACTAGAGATCATGTAATTCATATCAGTGGTTATACAGTGTAGTATAGCCCGTTCAGACGCTTAAGTTGAACTGGTTTTAAAGCCCTGGGGATCGTTAAACCAGTTTAACTTTGTTGTCTGAACGCAAATGTGGGGCAAATAAACCAGGTTAAAACCCCCAGCTCGCAACCTGTTTTCATCTTTGTTCATCTTGGCCGTCTGAACAGGTTGGCTTATAAACCCTGTCTCCAGCTCGCTTAGAATATGTGCAGTATGCAGCAAGTTACATTCCCAGGAAAATGCCCGGGTCGGGCAGTGCCAGTGATATCGAAGGCGTGCAAGAACCGAATAAAGAATATGAAGCTAGTTACAATGTAACTCTAACCTCCAACCGAAGAGGTCAGAATAGTTAAACTGGTTTAGCTTATCTTATACGAGTGAACGCAACCTGTCTTAAAAGCCTGAGCGATTTTGAACTGGTTTAAAAATAAACGTCTGACTGTTCTGATGAGCACAAGTCTATGATTACTATTAGTTTAGTGGAATTAATCTCAATCATAGAAAAACAGAATTCATACTACTCCTTAATAATGGGTACATATAAATGTAGCAAACAATAAGATTGACTGACCTCATGGCATTTTATTAAGTAGAGCAAGTGAGGTACAGTAATTACTTAGATGATATATTTGTTAAAGTGACATTCTACATGTACTTTACGTACTTTACAAGCGGTACTGAAAACAACATTTTGTTTGCAATACGCCTAATATGATGAAACATTGACAAGAAAACAAATTGAAGAATTGAAAAAAATGACAGAAATAAGTTTACAGATTACAGTGCTTGAAAGATCCATAGAAAAAGTATACTGTAGTCTGTTAGTCAGTCACTCTTTAAATAAATGGATCGATTAGCCTGGTGCTGTTTTTAGTGTTGGGCTTAAAGTGGCATTTAGTTGGTACAGGAGATAAATACTTTCTTTCTATGTTGAAGAAAAAAAAATCTGACATTGAGATATAATACAATGTAGATTATTTACTTCATATGTACATGTGTATTTATTCTCATTCATATTCAAGATATAGTTTTCTGTTTAAAATCTTATTTTGGTTGATAACCAGAACTTCCAATAGATAGGCAATGATCAGTAGTACATGTACCTTTGTATGTTATTATAGATATTGTGGAGGTACTGATTGATCCAGACGAGTGTAATAGGTGCAAGTTGGTTCAGAGTACTCAGTAATTGCTTGTGGGTGTCTTGGTCCCAGAGACAAACTGGCTATTATTGTTGACATTTGAGTTAAAACATAATAATAACAACACCTTTTATTATGGTTACATGTACATTCTACATGTATTTTGATATGGTAGATGTCAGTAAAAGAATATACAATGTACTACTGATGCAGTGCATGTACATACACATGTAGATGTGCATGTATATTCTATAACAATAAATTATGTATAGTCCAATAATACTGAGTAAATACTTTAATCATTTGAAAAAGGGTCTATCACTCAAAATGTTATGAAGAATAAACCACTTCTAATTTCTACTTTTAAACTCTGCCTGTGCTACTGTTGAGCGGGGATTTATATATATATATATATATATTTATGTCTACTCTCCGCCGGCATCATCGTTTTCTCTAGCAGCTAGCTACATGTATGTACATGTACACAGCTCTACCGGCCTGTCCTGTCTCTAGTACTCTTTTATGGAAGTGTTGCCGGTCCCCACCCCTACCCTTTTCTCGTTATAAATTATATACATGTCAGCACACTTACAATATAATATACAGTGTTGAAAGTGGTGTATTATAAAAGATCAATACACACCAGTCTACTGTGTATTACAAATGTATTCACCAATCTCACAGGGAATATCATGATGTTTTATGATATTATTATTGATATACATCACATACATTGTACATGTACTGTACTACAAATGTATGCAAGCCTTATTTGATGTGGGAAGTTGTTTCCCTGCTTTTGCAATTTAGCATATCATGCTCTTTTTGAATGCTTTGATGGTGACCTGTAAGGCGAATAATGCAAAAAGATTTTGGGGTTCTGCCCATTAGGAAATTCAACAACTGTTAAGAATTGACTTAAGTAGATTACCCAGGTCATTGACAGGACCTTTTTGAGACCTTCTCATGTGAAACCTCTTTCACCTCTGCTAATTTTAGGCATAATTCCTTTAATCTGGTGGCTAGGTGGGTAAGACGCTGGCTCTCTAGCAGCCTGGAGGTCGCATGTTCAATCCCCAGGTCATTGACGGGACCTTTCTGAGACCTTCTCATGTGAAACCTCTTTCACCTCTGCTAATTTTAGGCATAATTCCTTTAATCTGGTGGCTAGGTGGGTAAGACGCTGGCTCTCTAGCAGCCTGGAGGTCGCATGTTCAATCCCTGCATTGGCCGAGAGAGTTCATCAGGATTTTCCGACGTGGTTTCCCCCTTGTCAGTGGTGCAGGATAGAAAGTCTGACAAGGAGAGCTGTCTAGTCATTTGGATGGCACGAAAAAGCGAGGTCCCATGTACACATTGGCGTGCACGTAAAAGATCCCTTGGCAGTTGGAATTCGATATAAGAGTAGGCCATGGTGCTGCTGCCCAGGCAAAATTTCCCTCATAGCACACTGTATGGCTTATGCTCATCTTCATTAGCCCAGTCGAGCAGAACAGTAGGACTTTAAACTCCATTTCATTTCATTTCATTCTAGTAAAAATCCCATTTTTTTTAGCAGCTACATCGTAAAATACATGCTACTGTTTGATAACTGTGAGGGGATCACGGTGGCTAAGTGGGTAAGACGCTGGCTCGCTAGCCTGGAGGTCGTTTGTTCGACCCCTGCATTGGCCGAGAAAGTTCATCGTGGTTCTCCCTTGTCAGTGATGCAGGACGGAGGGCCTGACAAGGACAGCTGTCTAGTCGTGC